GATTTATCAAAGGTGATAACACCAAACATATTTCTCCCAAATTTTTCTATAATCAACAACAACAAACTCTCCTCAAGATCCAAGTAAATCAAATAAGATCTGAGGAGAATGTGGCAGATTTATTCACCAAATCATTACCTAAAGCCACATTTGAGAAACATGTTAAAAATATTGGGATGCGTAGACTTTCGGATCTTCCTTGATCATGTACACTTCAGGGGGAGATTTGAATATTCAAAGGTCTAGCTTTTATTTTATGTTACACTCTTTTCCTTAAACCAAGGTTTATTTTTCCCATTGGGTTTTGTTACTTGGTAAGGTTTTTAATGATGTAACAATATGCATGAACATAGCGATCGAAGTAAGGATCGATATTCTTTTCTTTGTTCAAGATTTTTATTCACAGGATTTTAACACTTGACGAGATTTTGACAAGAGATCAAGATTCTGCAATTCTACCTACAGCTCAGCACAAGGGGGAGTGTTGAAGGAATTTGTAAATTAGTGTGCTGTTGTGTAGATAGAATTTACTTTATATTGTGTAATAAGTTGTACTGGCCTATGGGCCTTCTCTTGTAAAACCCTACGAAGCTCTTCCATATATAAGGGAGCTATTATCAATAGAGAAAGACACATCTCCCACAACAAAATCTACATATTTTTGTGCTACCTAATATTCCCTCCGTCCTAAAACTTTCTTTCCACTTCCTCTTTTCCTCCGTCCTAAAACTACCTTCCCATTAAGAAAAAAAGATGACAAATGACATTAATATCATCATGTATTTACACCAATTATCTTCTAACTCTATATTTTGAATGATTGCAAAAAATAATTTTAAAAAATCTTTTTTAAGGAGGATAAAATTTGAAGTCAAAGCCAAAAAAATGGGAAAAAGTCAAACTGAGAAGAAAGTTTCAGGACGGAGGGAGTAACAAAATTAGAATTGTTGTTTTCAATTCTAATTTCATAGCTTGAATTCCATGTACCAAACGTGTATTAATGAATAACGTGTATTTTCTAAAGCTATACTCCGTATTTAATGTATAAACAATGTCAATTTAACACTCAAACTAAAACAGATATATTAGGACGGACTTAACCGAGAGAGTACATTCCATCAAACATCACTATATTACAAAAATGAAATTGTGCAAACAAGATATATTTTGCAAATGAATGAGAAATAATATGAAACACACTTGTTGAAATGAAACGTGAGTCAAAAACACAATGAATATGAATTGAATACTCCGTAGTTTTAATTAGGAACGTGAAGCCTCCCATCGCAATTCAAGAACTTTTCTATGTGCATATTGATATGACTATTCCAATTTTTAACTTTCTTTTCTCTTTATTGCCCGACAAATTACATCTCTTAAAATATACTCCATACCAGCAAGAACATTAAAAAATGGATATATTATCATTTACAGAGTAATTTTATACTTCCTCCGTATCTAAAAGATGTTCATGTTTCATTTTTTGCGCATTCCATAAAACATTTCTATCCCGTTTCAAAAGCTAAAAAACTTTTAAAACAACTTCTACCCATAAAAATGAAAAATGTGCTAAATTTTAGTTATCTTAGATATGGGTAAAAGTGTTTATGAGATGCGTAATAAATGAACAAATATATCTTTTTGAGACGGAGAGAGCATATATATATATATACATATATATATATATATATATATATATATATATATATATATATATATATATATATATATGTATGTATGTATGTATGTATGTATGTATGTATGTATGTATGTATGTATGTATGTATATATATATATACTCCCTCCGTCCCAAAAAGATTTACACGTTTCAAAAAAATTGTGTCCCACAATCTCTTACCCATTTCTATTAAAAAACCACTTTTACCCCTTACTTTTTCAAACCCTACCTATCACATCATACCTTTTTCCTAATAATTTACACATCACATCCTACTTTACCCATCACATCAAGGGTATTTTTGGAAAGTCAACACAAAATTATCCCTCCCTTAATTTCAACCTTAGTCAAAATGGGTAACACTTTATGGGACGGAGGGAGTATATAATAACTATATTACGAAGTATTTTTTGGGATGGAGGGAGTATTCACTAAAGTGATGAAAGTCAATAATGCAAAGCATGAGGTTCATATATGTATTAAGAAGGAATTTCTAGCAGACTAAAATCATAATTCAACTTACTCCGTATATCTTATTCAAGGGATTTAAAAAGTACTCCCTCCGTCCACAAATAAACTTTACGTTCACTATTCACAGTGTCAAACTTTATTCACTTTGTTAGCCTATTTTCGTCACCCATTTGATAAAATAATATAGTCATGTCACCTCTAGTTTTGTAAATCTTTTGATATAGTTTTTTAATATATAATTTTTATTTTTCAATTGTACACCATTTTTCATATAAAATGATTTGAGAATAATTTCAGTCAAACATCTTAACGTGTAATGTAAAGTTTATTTGTGGACGGAGGGAGTAATAATCTTATGAAAAGCAATAAAGCACGTATCATTTGCACACACTTGGTTTACTTTTTAGAAAACATTTTCACATGATTTGTTAGTGCATGCTTTACCTCAAAAAAGCTAGATGAGCGCTCATTGGATGAAAAATCGCCCTAAGAGCACTGGTAATACCCGCAACGCCCCCCGGCGTGATGGGGCGTTTAACGCCCCGGCGGCGTTAAACACCGCCCCCCTCCGGGCGTGATCGGGCGTTGCGGGCACTGCGTCAAAGGAATGACGCGGCGTCATTCCACTCCCTCCCCCTCCCCAACGGCTTTATAGCCGTTACAAAATTTTAAAAAAATTATTTTTTTTCCTATAAATTCAAACCCTCCCCCCTCTCAATCTCTCACACTTTCTCTTCTCAATCTCTTCTTCTTCCCATTTTAAAATTCGAAATTACTCTATTTTTATTCATCATGAATCCTTCCGGCTCCGGCTTCTTTCCCGACGATCTCCCGCCCGTCGACGCCGCGATGTGGTATTACCAAGAGTTGGGCGATCGACCGCCGATGTACGAGACGCAACAACCGGGGTACGTTGACCGAGATTCGGTTCCGGAGACTCAACCGGAACCGTCCGGATCGAAAAAAAGTACACGCCGGAGGAGTCACAAAGCCAAAACCACGTTGACCGAGGCGGCACGGTCAATCCAAAAGTGGACGCCGGAGGAGGAGTGCATATTGGCGTCGGCTTGGGTTGACGTCTCCGAGCATCCTATCGTTGGCAAAAAAAAAAATTTCTAATATATTTATGTTTTTATTTATATATATTATATTTAATGGTGTCTAAAAAAATTGTGTAATACATTTTTAAAGGTAAGGAGCAAACGATCAATGCGATGTGGGATCGTATCAAGGAGAAGTTCTTCACGGCGATGAAGAAGGACGGCTCCTACCGAACCCGTGACCAACTCACTTCCAAATGGGGCCACATCAACAAAAAAGTCCGAAAGTTTATGGGAGTACACGAGGAATGCTCCCGGTCCCGGAGAAGCGGCACGAACGACGCCGATGTTCTCCGGCTTGCCACGACCCGGTATCAAGACGACGGGAACCAAGGCAAGGTGCCCATCGATCTTTGGAGGATTTTGAGTCGTTCCCCGAAGTGGCAACCACTCAACAATCCCGACGGCGGATCGTTCCGGAAAAGATCCACCGTCGACGCCGAGGTTGAGGTCGACGAGACCATTGGTTCTACCGATCAAATCCCTTCCTTCAACGTTGCGGCTTCCGATGACGAGGACCCCATTCCACGGCCGATCGGAAGAAAGAAGGCAAAATCCATTGCCTCTGGTTCGGGAGGGTCCGCCTCTGTTTCCGCTTCTCCCCGNCTTTGGAGGATTTTGAGTCGTTCCCCGAAGTGGCAACAACTCAACAATCCCGACGGCGGATCGTTCCGGAAAAGATCCACCGTCGACGCCGAGGTTGAGGTCGACGAGACCATTGGTTCTACCGATCAAATCCCTTCCTTCAACGTTGCGGCTTCCGATGACGAGGACCCCATTCCACGGCCGATCGGAAGAAAGAAGGCAAAATCCATTGCCTCTGGTTCGGGAGGGTCCGCCTCTGTTTCCGCTTCTCCCCGCGACGAAATCGGCCTGGAAATGGTTGAACAACTTCGGGCGTTCAATCTCCAAGAACAGAAGAGGTTGAAGCTTAAAGAGAAGGAGTTGAAGCTAAAGGAGCAGGAGGCCGAGATGAAAGTCATGCAAACCGACCCCGGGACGTTGTCGGAGTTTGGAGGAATTATCTATGAGCAAAGAATGAGAGAGATCAAGGAGAAATATAATTTTCCTTAGTTTTTTTTATTAATGTATCTTTTTTTTAAATTATTGTCGCTTTTTTTTATTTAATTAATGTGTTTTTTTATTATTCGTGTTTCAATTTAATTAAATAAAAAATTAAGTACATTTTATTAATTTAATTTTAGAAGATGTATATTTAAAAATGTAAAAAATGAAGGTTTGAAGCCCAGTTTTGAAGCCCCGGGGCTTCAAACCCATTTCCAGTGAATTTTGGGTGTAAGTTAAAGCTGACGTGGCAGAGAGAGAAAGTTTGAAGCCCCGGTTTGAAGCTCCGGGGCTTCAAACGTATTACCAGTGCTCTAACTATATACCAAGTAATAAGTGACAATGGCAATTATTGGTCGGATGCATGATTAGATTCACTTTTTGTAATGTTCCTTTCACCTTTTGGGGTCATTTATATGGACTAATTTATGGTCACGTCAAAAGGTTTATCCTCATTGAGGATGTTTTCAAACACCACGCCTTAACTTTACAACTTATGCATAAAATATTCATATTTAATTTTTTGGTCGTAGAATCAAAAAAGATTTTATATTTTAACACCTCTCACAACCACGCTTCAAACTCATGACCTCTTTATAAATTACTCCCTCCGTCTCAAAAAGTTTGTTACATTTAGAAAAAACTGCGTCCCGTAAAGTCCGTTACATTTCTATTAAAAAACCACTTTTACCCCTTACTTTTTCATAACCTACCTATCACATCATACATTTTTTCTAATAATCTACCCATCACATCCTACTTTTACCCATCACATCAAGGGTATTTTTGGAAAGTCAATACCAAATTATCTCTCCCTTAATTTCCCAAAAAGTCAAACCATCCCATTCTTTTTGGGACGGGGGGAGTATATGCCAACGCATAATTCAAATTTCAAGCATTTTACACGGTCATGTATATGATATGTTATCCACGTCCCTGAGTATATGTCTAGTTTTGATTTTTTTGGTCAACTATTTTTTATTTTTGACCTATAATTAAATAAAATATAAGGAGTATATTATATATTAGTTAAATAAAATAATATTTTGAAAATATTTAATATAATAAATTGAATAAAATATTTTTGTATCAATATCTAATACGGAGTATCATTTTTATTTGATTTGAGGTCAAAATTTACCAATTTTAACCGGAAAAATCAAAAGTAGACAAATACTCAGAGACGGAGGGAGTATAAACAAAGGGATGTCATATTTTAGCATTTTAGTATAAATTCAATATTTTAATCTTATTAAAGTACTCTCTCTGTCCCTAAATAAAGTTCCTCTTTTGTTTTTTCTTTGTCCCTAAATAAACTTCTCTTTTCCCTTAAAAACCCATTTTACCTCTTACTTTTTCATACCCTACCTATCGCATCATACCTTTTTACTAATAATTTACCTATCACATCTTACTTTTACACATCACATCAAGGGTATTTTTGGAAAGTCAACACAAAAATATCTCTCCCTTAAATTCTCAAAAAGTCAAAATGGAACTTTATTTAGGGACGGAGGGAGTATATTAATTAAAATGAAATACCTTGGTGAAGGCAAGGTTAATGAGGTAGGACAAGAACTGGCCACCGGTGATGAAGAAACTATTGGTGCTCACAAGTGCTCCCCTGACCTTTGCCGGAGAAACCTCCGATATGTATAATGGAGAAGTCATGGACGCCATTCCGACGCCCAGCCCCACAAAAACCCTACCGGCGATCAAAACGGTGGGGTTCGGCGCAGAAGCCATCATTACGGCTCCTATGAAAAACAAGAGGTCTGCTGAAAGTAAAGTTGTTCTTCTTCCAATTTTGTCGTTTAACCATCCGCCGATCGCCGCTCCTATTATTGCTCCGGCCACCGCGGTGCTCACTATAGCTTCCTGTAACATTGGAAGTTTAGCATTTCACATCTCCATATAACTATTGAAAAAAAGTCAAAACTGGACAAATACTCAGGGACGATAGTAATAGTAAGTATTATTTCTATCAAATTTTGATCAGCAATTAATCATCATTGGAACTCCGATTTGATCATCAGTTAATCATCATCGGAACTCCGCCACCGGTTGCCGGATTTGACCACTGTTGACCGGTGGTCAACAAATCCACTATCATCACACTGACACCATTCACACTCTCAAACTTTTATTTATCAGCTAAAAGAATTTCATTCATATTTTGATATTTTGATGACATTTTATTTTTAATAATATTTTATTCTTATCTTGGGACAATTAATTCTTTAAAATTATATGTGAGTCTATTTGTTTTGACTTACACTTATCTATCTTTAAAAATAATATACTTATGTCACATTTTGTTTGTAGAACTTTTGATGTAATTTTAAAATATATAATTTTTATTTTTAAATTTACATGTATAATCAAATAATTTAAATTGAAAATAATTTCAATCAAATCTTGTAAATCGAATTAGAAGATTAGTTTAGGACTAAAGGAGTATTCTATACACAATAGAATAAATCGGGCATCATAGCACGTTAGGGACAACATAATTGGCCGTAGCACCTTAATGAAATCATAGCTCAAGAGGGACAAAATGTAGGGAATAAAAGTGCAAAAAAACAAGAATTCAAGTTTGACAAATTCTTTGGCACCTTGGGTATTTTTTGAGGGCATCATACCTTTGTCAACATGGATCAATTATCATACGATAATGATTGAAATTATTTTCCATCCAAAATTTGGGAGAGAAGAAATAAATGTCTTGATTTTCATGATATTAGAAAACAATATCATGATATGAAAGATTAGTAATTTCCACCTTTCATAATCTCTTGATAAACTCTCTCCCCTGACTCGGCTCGAACCTACTTCCCACTATTGTCAATTGCACCCCACAAAATTTAATTAACTTTGAAGTTAAAACTTAACTCTAAAGTCAACTAAATTTTGTGAAGTACAATTGAGAATGATGGGGCAGGGCGAGTTTGAGTCGGGATATTGTGGAGGATTTACTAGAAGGAGGGGGTAAAGAGGGTAAGAACCATAAATTTTTCGAACGAAACATGTAGTAGGAATCCTAAACGATGCCCATGCCATAAGATGACATGGGGGCTAACTCGGTATAAAAACCCTTTTGGGGTTCAGAAATAGGAGGGGGACTGGTGGACAATACTCCCATACAAAACTAAAGATTTTAGGGACTATTAGAGGTGCTCTAGTAAATTTTAGAATTTTTTAATTTACTACGATAAAACACAAAATTTATACTCCAGCATGAATAAGGGCATCCCAATGAGTATATTCCTTATGTACGGGTGCTTATTAGCTTATTGCTGATAAGTAGTTTTAACTTATAAGTTATTTATAACTCAAATACTATTTCGTGAAAATATAATGACTTAAATGATAGATAAGTCATTTTTAAATATTTATAAATGGTGAGAAACATTTTTGTAATTAATCTAGTCAAAATGGAAAAATGAAGAAACTGACTTAAAAATAAGTATCTAAGACATACTACCTCCGTCCCGCTATATTCTTCCAGTTTTGATTCGTCTACTTTTGACTTTTGGAACTATTCATCTAAGCACTCTGACTCATCAAATTCTCTCAATGTGTAAGTCTAAATATAGTCATGTGTGATCTTGTTTGATTTGTCTTAACATATAGATTATTAATATATAATTTCTATAATTTTTTAATATAGAAATTACAAGATAAAATGGATTAAAGAAGTGTATTGGATGGTGTGTAAAAATGAAAGTGGATAAATACTCTGGGACGGAGGGAGTACGTATTTTTTTGGCTTATAAGTAGCTTATAAGTAAACTTAGACACACACAGAAACATGTCATTACCTGACTTCTAAGTTAAAAACTGCTTATAAGCAGTTTTGAACAGCTTATAAGCAGATCAAAACACCCACTAAATTTCAAATCACATATGGTGTGATCTCTCCCAACGCACTAGATTCATACTCAGATCAGAACAATCTCTCTGTCTCAAAAATATTTTCAGACTTCAATAATGTGCAAAATTTTATTTGTTTTATAATTATTCTATTTACAAATTGGTATATAAATAAAAATTATTAAATACATATTTTAGAACTACATCAAAGATTTTATAAAATAAATTGGGACAAAAATATTTTATTTAATAAATAATCAATGAAAAGACACAAATAAACTAAAATTATTGAGATTCGACAGAACAAATTGAAATCTGGAATAGTAACTGAGACATTATTTTTGAAACGAATGGAGTATTTCTTGTTTCACTGTTTGATATAATTCTCGGATAAAAAAAAGAGTAAATGCAGTAAGTTACAAAAAAAGAGAAAAGAAAAGAAATAAATGGGCGCATTTTTTGGTTTTGAAGAGGAGAGAATGGAGGAAAAACGCAAATTACGTTTGAAACTGACAAATGGTTGGAGGAAGGAAAACTGCAAAAAATAAGTTTGCCTTTAAGTTTGAGTGTGACATAAATTTCCCACTTTTCTTATTTTAGTTGTCTCAAAATAAAGTTTACACCGCCTTATAAAAAACTAGTCCGATCTATTGCCTAAAACAAGTAGTCCACAATAAATCTTTTTCCTCTGCGCAAATCTCAACTAAATATTTTTTTAACGGTTATTAATTATTCCGTATTATAGACTCCAGGACGAAACAAGTGAAATCTTAATTTAGAACGAAGAGAGCAACAAATTGCAGCATACCTGCAAGACAGTGCGTCTATCAACAGACTTGAAATCGTCTCTAATATAAAGAAGAGCTCCAGATATCACTCCTATTACCATTCAAAACACAAAAAAAGGTTCCACAAATTTATTAAATCCTCCTTAACGATAACCTTTAGATATATAACATTTTCGCCAAAATTATCTAACAATAATATAATTTTTTTAAAAAAAAAGTTTTTCAAAACTAGCTACTCCGTAACATATATCTATCAATTGCATGTCTTGTTTGGGAATTAAATCTTCAATCGGCGTTAGATAGCACTATATATTGATGTATATTAATTTTGAAAACGTTGCTGATAACGTTTTTAAATCAAAACTCTTACGCTAAACGTTGAAGTTATTCCCAGACACACCCTAATTAAGGGTGTGTTTGTTTTGTGTGAATAGAGAGGGAGAGAGAGTGAGGGAGGGACCGGTATCATAGCCAAAGAGAAAGCCACCAATTCCAGCAGAGAAAGCAAGACGAAGAATGTATGGGTTTTTCCATGACAGAGCCAAACACTCCCTAAAAGCTGTTGCATCTGTGCCTGGATGCACCCCTCCTTCCATATCTATATTATTAAATCTCTTATTACTAATTAATAATAATAATAATAATAATTTCTTATTAGATATGTATATTTATGATAATTATTTAGAATTAATTGATTATTTGAAAGAAATGAGGAAAGATGGAGATGAAAGAAGAGTATTTGGATGCATATTTATAGAGTGGAGGGGAGGTGATCGGGCACTGTGAGAATTACACGTGGCGAACAAAGGGAATATAGTAAACAACTCTATGGAGTGGCGGCGTCCGGCGACCCCACAATTAAGTCGGCCTTGACGATAAGCGCTTCGGTGGCCGACTATAGTGGAATTAAGCCTCCGATGATGAGAGAATGTGTTAGAAAATTTGGGAGGATGTGTTGGATAAGAGATTGTGTTAGAGTTCGTGTTCTTCACCCATTCCCTTTGATCTTTGTTTGAAAATTTAGAAGAATGAAAATTGCAACTTGATAGTTTAACGAATTGCGAATACGCTTTTAGATTAAAATTATTTTGTTGAGATGTAACAAAATACCTTAATAGAATAAGACGTTAATAAAAAATAAGTCTTTCAAAAAAATTACATTCAATCGTACCCTAGCGACTCCTTTTATAGAGTTGAAGATTTTGGCGAGCAGACATGAACATTCGCGTAGGAAGCGAACGTTCATGCAACACCGTACGTCCGAATCTTTAGGGTTTCGGACTCCGTTTACGAAAATCTGAAAGACTTTCACAAAGCAATAACATTCAAATTAAAAATTGACACCGACCAGATTTTGGTGTCATCAGTTATTTTGTGTGTTTGAGTTTATATAGATCAGACAAGAATTCGAATCGATGATGTCAAACGAGCTAGGACACGCAGAGTACAAACTCGTTTAACGATATTACAAACTTAGAGCTGGGTTTGGGAGCAGCTCCCCTGAGCAGGGTTGAAGGGGCGGCAGCCCCTGCAGGATCTAAGGGGCAGAGCCCCCTTGGCTGCGGTTGAGATACTTTTTACTTTGGATAAAGTACCGTGTTAAAAATTTAACTTGAATTTTTAATTTTCAAAATTTGTGTATAAGAATTTCCGTAAATCATTTATCCCCTAAATCTCGAGCGACTAGTCGCGTATCTTAGGACAGAGATGCGACCGCATCTTTTTTCCTTCCCGTGGCTATATGGATCCGGTAAAGTCTGGTCGAAAAAAGACAGAAAGTTCAAAATAATTCATCATAACACTTATGTGTTCTTGTTCAACAAAGTTTAAGTTTTATCTGGTTGATTTTGGAGTAAACATCCAAATAATTAATCTAAAAGTGTTAGCACGACTCTCAAACAAATCCATGTCATATACGAATTTCCCCAACACCTTCCACCGACTACCAGAATCATGTCAACGCCAACCACCTCCGTTGGAAGACACTTTTCATATCACCAATTAAAAGTGATTTTTAATCTTTTTAAATGAAGAAGAAGTATTTTCATTGATTAATTGTGAGGAGAGAGTACATGTATATATACAAGAGGAAGGTTGCCCTCTTGTCCTGTAGTACCTTAGATGGATTGTCCAAGTATCTCCAGCGATCTTTCACTTGATCTTGGTCGCTACGGTCCAAACCACCTTGGATCCTTTCTTGCCGACATTCTTCAACCCGAGAAATTACACCGGGTAATTTCTGAAGGATGAGTTCATCGAAATTAGGGAATGATCAGAGTGATAAAGTAGTTTGATCGGTATACCTTTTCGCAAAGTATACTTGTCATATTTGGACCGATCAAATATCAATCTGCTAACGATTAAAGTCTCCCTTTCCAGTAAGTTCAATGTGACGGTCAACTATTTGGTCTCTTCTTTTGACCGGTCTTGGGTGGAATACACCCATCAGCATCGATATTTTAACAGTTCAAATGGACAAAAACTGTTATTTCAATTAAAAAAAATTGCACTGACATTTTTTGCAAATGTAACTCATCACACTAGCATAAAATGTCGGTGCATGTCTTTGGGATACAAAATGAAATACAAATTTTGTTGTACAAATAGCTTAATCATATCCCGTTATATTGGAGATATATAGCGGTTTACACGCACGTAGGTGGGCTAATTACTGCTACCTTTTGAAGGGAAATATGACAAACTTTAACCACTTTTAAATAAAACTCATATTTGATATTGATACAAAAATTTCCGTAGTTTATTTTCTTTGAAGGACTCCGTACTATATATTGATTGTGTACAATATTTCTAAAATATTATTTTATTCAAATTAATGTGTCATGCAATTTTTACTCTCTTAGTCCTAACACGTTCTTCCATGTTACTATTTACACGGTCAAATTTTAGTCACTTTATTTACTTATTTATAATATAGTCTTGTCACCTCTTGTTTTATAAAACTTTTGATATAGTATTTAAATATATAAATTTTATTTTTTAATTTTACACTAAGATCAAATAAATCAAAGTAAAAATAAAGTCAGTCAAATCTCGTAAACATAAACGTAAGAACAACATTTAGGACGGTGGGAGTATTTAGATAAGGCAATTTCTTTGGTGAACCTAAGGTTCATACTCATTATATGAACCTTAGTATATTTATAGTATAAAAATTGGGCCTTTTACAAAAAAGAAAATATCCACTTGCAAGCTCATTAAAAATGTGAGAATGTCTAAATTTTAAATGTAGAACTAGGGACAATGTAAACATCACTCTTTAATTAAAAGTCAGATGATAATAATATCTAACTCCAAAAAATCAAAAAAGAACAAAAATTCTGTAATGCTATGTCATCTCTATCTTTAAGTATACACAAACTATAAATTACTGGCAACACCTACCCACAAGTATCTTAGAATTTTTTATTGTTTTTTAAATTTAAAATAAATAAAACAATCAATTGTAACTCCTCTTGACACAATTTTTATACAAAATTTGCACTGGTAAAAATTTGTCTTGTGGCATTCTACCCACATAGATGTGGAGTGAATTTGCTTTCTGGTTTGGAACCCAAAAAATTTATCCATGTGAGTGCCCCGTAACGCAGAATCAAGTTTTTAACAACAAAACAAAAAGAAAAAATAGAATCGAGTCGATGGACAGCCCAAACAAAGAGGGCACGAGTTTATAATAGGCCATTTTATTTTTTTCTTTGGTTCACAGGCCTGTTAAATTGAGCCCACGACTTTTCACTTAAGACATTAAAATACTCCGTATTAATTATCGGTGGAGTTTTAGGGGGTATATTCAATCTAGATTTTTAAAGATTCTGAAAGATTATTTTGAATCCATGGATTCTGTAAAGTCAATGGATTGTTTAAAATCTATGCAGAGTTAGATAGATTTCAATGTATTTTGTTAGCAGGATTTTATAAGATTGTGATAGATTGTTTATTATCAATGAATTATTTATATATATACATTTGAATTATTTTAAAAATCTATACATTGTCCTTATATTAATTATTACTTATGAAATTGTTCAAAAACTCTAAAAATAATAAAATAAAATAAAATAAAATATTTTTAAATATTATTATAAATACTATTATTATTATAAAGCTAAACACTAGCATATAATTAACAACAATTTAAAATAAGCATATTTTGAAACAACTTAGGAGGGTGTATTCTATCATAAATCTGAAAATTTTTTATAGATTGTATAAAGTTTATGGATTATGTAAAATTCATGGATTATTTTATAGAATTTGGTAGATTTTAATGAATTTTATCAACAAGATTTTATAGGATTACGTGTGATTGTTTATAATTTATAGATTATTTATATATAAATATGAATTATTTTATAAATTTATACATTTTTGTAACATCAACTATTGTAATTAGGTATTAAAAAACTTTTTTAAATTGATTAAAAAATTAAAAATAATATAATAAAATAAAAATAATTTATTTTTTTTAAAAAAAATTATTGTTATCATATTAAATAATAAATTCTTTAAAATATACGGAGTACTTTGTAGTTTGTACCATCATCCAGCATTTTTATAACAAAGATTCTAGAAATAAAAATTAGTTGCATAAATAATAATAATAATAATAATAATAATAATAATAGAATAAAAGAAAAAAATTGTACGAAAAAGTTATCTCCTTAGGCCCTAAAAGAAAGAAAATAAAACTTAAAAGAAACAGATCTACTGGTAAATTAAACCGGACGGTTGCAGCGATGAACAACCACGACGGCATCGACAAACGACCACGGCGACGGCGGCAAACCTACTTCCCTCTTGCGCAAGCAGCGGCGGATATACTTTTGCCATGGGTTAGGGTTTTCAGATCTGGATTTCGTCGTCTTTCACTCCGGTGGCTAGTCACCTCCCTCAATTGTCCCTTCCCAGCGATCGGACGCATAGTCTACGATGAAGCCAGGAGACGATGGAGACATGAAGAAGACTGCCAGAGGAGAGGAAGAATGAGAGATGAAGAAGATACCAGAGGAAACGATGGACAAAAAGAGCAGGCGAAGGATTTTCCAAAATCTTTAGCTTTTGGGTGAGATTTGGGAAAATATTTGTATTTATACTCAAAGCCTACAAATCCATCAAAATTCACACTTCTTGAAAATCTTAAAAAATCTATCAACTTTTGAATACCATCATATTTAGAAGGAGTTTTTTAAATCTGAATTGATTGCATCTAGATTTTAAATGACTTTTTAAAATCTGAATTGAATACCTACAGATTTTCAGAATCCAAAATATCCATCAAAATCCTGATTGAATACACCCCCCTTAGTGACATCTACTTTCGGTGACACTAGCGGTAATCGGAGTTGCAAATCTTCATCAAATCTTGCAATTGAGGAATCCTTGGAGATCGCCGAGATGCCAAGAATACATTGGAGGGAATGAGCGGCGTCAATTTGGCCAGAAATGGCCGGAAACACCCCGACCCGCCGCAAGGAGGCGGCGTTTTCCGGAGGGTCGGGGCGTTTTCCGATGTGTTCGTGGCATCACGACGACCTCCATGGACCCCTCAATTGCAAGATTTGATGGCGATTTGGAAAAACCTCCAATTTCGGATTTTAGGGTTTTTTTCGAGTGGAAAAATTCAAATTCGAGGAGTTACATGCCAAATTGGACAAAATGGTTTGGATATTCTTGATCCTCGTCTCAAGACGAAGAGAATGACGTTGGTCCCGCCGGAATCGGACTAGGTTGATTTTCCGACGAGTTTGAGGTGGTGTGACGGCGGCGGGGAGCGGAAGAAAAAAAACAAAAGAAATGGGGTCCAATTGAAAATTTTAAAATCTATAAAATTTTAATTTGACCCAAATGACCGGAAGTTAACTTAGAAACGGGCAAATGGACTTTTAGTGAAAAGATTGTGTAAGTTCAGGAATTTTTTTGAAAGGATTTGAAGTTTAGGTACCACTTCAAAATTCCAACTTAAGTTCAGGTACCATTGGTGAAATTTACCCAGAACATCGCAGATTAATTTTTTTGGTCAAAATATGTTAGACTTTGACCATAAATTATGAATACACTATTTAACTTTAATGTAAATTTAGTCTAATTAATTTTAAAATATAGTTTTTTTATATCAAACGTATATTAGCATTTAATTATTTTAAGTATATATTTAATTTCTTATCAAATACAAAGTATTATACAATTTGATAAAAAAAATTCAAACCGTGACGTTTTTTTGAAAAGGATAGAATAATAGACCTAGCGATTCAATTGGTTCGGTTCCAGTTTGGGTCTCTTTCGGATATATGTTATAATTGGTTCGGGTCTATTCTATTCTGGGTTTAATTCGGTTTAATTTTTCCCAACTTTGTTTTGGTTTCGGTTCGAGTTTATCTTGGTTCAGTTTTATATCCGTTTGGGTTTAAATCGATTCTGGGTTTAATCGGTTTGGGTTCAATTGAATCTGAATCTAAATCGGAGCTGAATAAATGCGGTTCGCTTCAAATCATTTTGGGTATTTGAGTTTAATTCAGTTTTTCAATTCTCGGATTATTTCGGGGTTGATTCTGGGTTATTTGATTTGGATTATCGGGTTCGGATTTGTTTTGTCGCGTCTAGGAATAAATATATGATGCCTCTATCTTGAGAAGACATTTTCTGTCAGTCTACGAAAGTGTCTCACTGATTTTTATTCTCTGGTTTTTAGTTTCATTAATTAATCACTCATAATAAAAACACTACTCCCTATTTATATCATCAAAGTACGTGAGAGCAACGATCGCGTGAGCATGACTGTACGGAAAAATTGCAGACATCACCCTCAAGATCAAGCGATTTGCATAAAATCCCATATTTACTGCGGGGTGGAAAGTCGAAAGAGATGAGAGGTGCGGGGTAGAAAGTAGAAAGAAAATAATAAGACCGACATGCCGACAGACGGCAGCGGCTGGGAAGCCGTCGTTGACCGTCAGTGACTCAGCTTTTGCTTCCGTCATTTTTAGCGTCTTTTTTTTCCTTCTTCTTTACTGACTTTTTTTACTGTACTGTGTTTGTTTCTCGATTTGCTTTACTTCCGTCAGGGGTAACGACGGAAACAGCAACAAACGGCGTAAAATATGCCGGGCGTGATATGTATTCAGACGAGGAAAATGTCCGCTTTACCCCGGCCAATTCCCACCTTTATTCAGTTCTAATTAAGATGTGTGTTTAATTGTGTGAGATTTGCATGTGAGAGGCCTAAATATATGTATAGAGTTGGGGGTCAAAGGTATTTTTGGTGAGTTTTTGAGATAGGATAATGCTACATGTACCCCATTTTGTACCCCAATGTTTTTCCCTGACATTAAATGTAGGTACAAAACTGGTAATATGCCAGTTTTACACCTACATTAAATGTCAGGTTAAAGCTTTGGGGTACAAATTGGGGTACAAATATGGGGTACATGTAGCATGGTCTTTTGAGATAATATATGGGGCCGAAGGGAGCATATGTTTTAAATTTTGGGACATAATTCTGAAATCTGGAACTAAATTATTAAGAAAACTTGAAAGTGTGATTTTATTAGTGATCAGTGGGAGCGTCCACCAATGAAGGCGGAGGTTTGTTCTGATAGTGGTTGTTGTAGAATGTGTGGCTAATGATGATTGAGTGAAATACTAAATCCCCAAAATATTATATCCCGAATTTAAGATATATTAAAACCCGATTTGCAATATTTTGGAATATAAAATCTGAATGCTACCTTTGTCATATAGCTTTTGTCCAGTTTTAATTTTCTTTTACAGTTAAAATTTATAAACTTTGACTATTAACTAAATAAAATTTATATTAGATATTGATATAAAAATAGCTATTAGCAGTGAGAATGGTACAACATGGTAAAATATTTAGCTCGTATGATATCGTACCAAATATTTCAGTTCGGTATATAATCTTAAGTGGTACTGATCATGATCATTATTCATTATGGTTTGGTATAGGTTGCAGTAAAAATCGAAATGAATACATATGTACCTAATTACACTTTAAAATGTAAAACAACCCCTTTATTTTTAAAAACCGAAATTACATTTAAAGGAAGAAAATAAAAAATTTAAAAATGAATAATTAAATACAACAAATACTTATTAAAACTTGGTTTATATTTTACAAAGTAAAAAACGAAAGATAACAAAATAGTATATTTTGAATGTTTATTAATAATTTTGTATTCATTTACAAAAAAACTAAAACTCGAACAAAAGCATAACTTACGTACAATAAAGCTTGAGCCAAACTTTTAAAATAAATTTACTATTCAATGAAGAAATATAAAAGGATTCTTATTTTTAAATATATTATTAGTATATATGTTCGTTTGAGATTTCTGGTATGAGACATTATCTCGTGTCGTCCCAAATATGGTACCGATTGTTGGGTTGGGTAAAATCTTGTTAGAGTGCATCCCACATCGAAAGTTCAAGAGTAAAAAATCGATATAAAAGCTCTTGCATTAAAATAACTAATCGATTGGATTCAAATTTTTAATGTGGTTCAACCCAAATCTCTTATTACTCAATCCAGTTGTTCATATCTCATCTTAAATTCTATTAAATCCAATTCTTTTATGGTATTTTTTCAACTCGATACTTTTTAGTTTAGTTCGGTATTCTCGGTTTTTCGAGAAAACTCAAGATAAATTTAGTACTTGCTCATCCCTAATAGCTATATTAGATTGATCTTGTGTCAAATCTAATCAGGAAGCTTTTTTAGGATAGAAAGGCTATTCTTATTGTTATTGTTCTTCTCATTATTATTATTATTATTATTATTATTATTATTATTATTATTATTATTATCACATGCAAAAGAAGAGTAGAGAAGGAAAATGCATGAAAGGGGTGGAATTAATAAAGTGAGCATAAAGGACATGAAAAAGACATGGTACATTGGTACTTACCTATGATTCGTAGAGTAAGTAGTGTGGGCAAAAGAGGGGAGATCTCAGCCGTCAGAATTAGCGGGATGTACTGTTACTGTCTACTGTAGCATTTATCTTCAGGCCCGCCAAAAAAGTTAAAACGGCAAGTTACCCACTTGTACCGTCTTTGGTTACGTTATACTTACTCCCCCCCTTCTTCTTACTGTTGTTTTTAATTACTCCCGGGTACTAGTTTTACTGCCATTTACCGTACCACCCCCCCAAACCCACAACTAACTTCACCATCTCACTTACCCCTTGCATATTACCGACTGGTAATTACTTCCGATTTGAATTCAAAATGTCAAAATGGGACAAATCCTAGCATTGCCTCCATCCTCCTATCTTTTGACCCGTTTCAATTTACGATTGAAACTTTTTTTCCCAGTAATTTATATTATCATATGTGTAGATTTAGAAGATAAAAAATATCCATGGGTTCTCATGATATTGTGAATCAATGTCATTGAATGATCTGAGAGTGCTCCGATATTTGAAAAATTGACAGTTCTTACTTCTCTAACCCCCGGTAAACCTCCTCACCTCACCCCGAACCGAACACACCCCCCTTCAATTGCACCCAGAAGTTAATTTTGACTCCAAAGTCAAAATTAACTTGGAGGATGCAGTTGAATGGGGTGTGGAGGTGTGTTCGGTTTGGGGCGGGGTGGGGGGTTTACCGGAGGAATTAGGGGGATAGGAACTGTTAATTGTACGAATGGAGAACCGAAGCACCCTCGGGTCATCCCATGATATTGATTCCCAATTCATGGAAACCGGCCCCTAAAAAATAACCCCGTGTATAATTTTATAAGCTACATAAAAAGTATACTCCATCCGTCTCTAAAAGATTGTCACAGCTTAATTTTTTCTGTCAAACTTTGACACCCTTTAACCGTGAATTATGGAAAAAGTATATTTACTTATAATGTAAATTTAGTAAAATTAGATTTATTTTAAAATATAGTTTTGAAATATAAACTTTTACACTATTTAATTATTTTAAACTATATTTAATTCGTGATCATAAAATGTGCCATAAACTATAAAAATTATTTCGTGTATAATTACCAAAGGGTATAAGGAATTTTTAATTACCAAAGTGATCCTTGCAATTAAGGCAAAGTGGCCTAGAGATGGTTGTAAGTGAATATTCATTCAGCAAGACAATGCAAGGCCTCATATTCCTGGAACTAATCTAGATTTTCTAGAAGTAGCAAAAACTAATGGGTTTGACATTGAATTAACTAATCAACCACCAAATAGTCGTGACCTAAAAGTTCTTGATTTGGGTTACTTTAGGGCTATTGAAGCACTGCAAAAAAGGGAAGAAATGCAAAAAAAATGATAAGTTTGTTGAGGTTTAAGTTCAGTCATACAATGAGTTTGACACAAAGCTATCAAATTTTGTATGGTTGAATCTCCAATAGTGCATAGGGGAGGTCATAAAAGTACTTGGTGCTTTGGTGGTAATGCATACAAGATCTCACATCTTGGGAAGAATACACTGCTCACGCAAGGAGAACCACCTCAGTTTGTATGTTATGACACAGCAGCAGTTGCCAAAGCTCAAGAACATTTGTCATTGCTAGAAATGGATTGGAGATTGTACATCAATAGTAATACAGTGCACGGGATAGTTCATGAATGAAGATGATAATGATCTTCATACATGAACTGCTTCAAAGGGATGAAGTGTGCAATTTTTTTGGGTAAAAGTAAGGCCTAACTTTCATTACAATCAGAAAGTGTAGAGTCTGGAAAGTCTTTTTTTTTTGATAAAAACCAAATGTTTTAAATTAGGCCTTATTTTTATAAAAACAAAAAACAATTGTAGTACGGGAATGGCTTTTTTTTTTTGGTTAAAAGTAAGTGTAGTATATTAGGCCTTACTCTTGTAAAAGTATGTGTATTATCTACAGAGGGCGTTTTATTGTTAAACCAAGGGTAGTAAATGAAGCCTTTGTTTTGTTTAAAAGCAAGTGTAGTACTTGCAAGGTTTGTTTTCTTTAAAAGTAGGTGTAGTATCTCAGTCATTTTGTAAAAACAAAAGTTGTCTCTGGAGGCTTTTTGTACCAAAAACAAAGTGGACAAAGAGAGTGAGGCATAAGAGAGTGAGACAATGATAGTACTCCATGATTGTTTTGGGGACATGGTCAATCTAGAAAAGCATTTGCTAAACACCAACATCCTAGTTAGAAAAGTCTCTTCAATATTCTCAAATAAGGTGAATGGACTAACAATAATGCAATTTCTATGCATTGTACACTTTAGTACATTCATAAAAATCTCAAAGGGACAGAAGAAGAATCAAGTGCAGTATCTAAGTTCTTTTTAGAAACACCATTTGAAGTGAAAAACCAAGTGCAGTAACCACTTAGGATTTTTTTTGGGAGAAACCAATTGCAGTATCTAAAACGAAATTCTAAGGACATCATAATTTCAATCACATTCAAACGAAATAGACTCATTTATGGAAGAACTTCCAGGAACATCAACTTGATAGAACATGAAATTTTTCCAAAGTGGGTAGTCACCAAAAGCACACCACTAACAAAAAGATTGCATAAATTAGAAAAGGTGGGACTAGTACTTCCCTTGCAAGCACTAGGGCAAAAACACTTGAGGGCACACTTATTAGCCATCCAGCTTCTCTAACTCATGCACAAAGAATATTTCATCTTCATCATTGTCATCGAAATCAGGAGGTGGAAGAGTGTGGCCTACGGAACGAAGTCTTTGCCACTGACCGATGCAAGGAGGGCGAATGACTTGACGACAAATTCTGTTTGCGTCTATCTCCACGGCTTGTTACACCTTCTCAAAGATCTTCTTCAAGGGCGTAGATTCCAGTACACCTTCAAACAAAGATTTTGTCTTGATCCACAAAAATATGCAGGTTGATCCGAATCTCATAAATCAAGATTGAACCGTTGGAATTCAATCTCCACCGTTCAGATTGAAGCTCTACAAGTCCTTAGACTCCTCCTAAAATTTAAGCACAATCGGACAAGATTTAGTACTCCATTCATTGACAAAATCAGAGCTGCATTTTCTGAAAAAACCAGCGACAATATGTAGATTGTAACTTCAATAACAGAAGATCCGTAACTATGATTGACGTGAAAATTAGACACATTGAAGCCCTATGTATTGGGAATGCTCTCTAAAAATTTCAGCAAAATCCAACGGTCGGATCTCCTATTGAATCGGTTATTACTAATAATCGATTTAATTGCTACCAGTTTTCAATTTGGCTCTTTTTGTAGTAGTGACAAACGACACATTAGAAGTGACATCAGGTGTTGAGTATGATAAAAAATATATATAATCATTATGAAATGACATTTTTAAGCTTCAATTAACATAAATATGACAGAAGATAAAAAAAATCACCCTTAAAAAGAAGCACATAAAAAAACCATATGTATAATACTCCCTCCGTTACTTTAAATTAAACCCTTCCACTTTTGACTTTGGGCAAAAATAAGGAAAGTGTAATTTTAGTTGATTTTCCAATTTTGCCCCTGATGTGATGGATAAAAGTAAGATGTGCTGGATTTATTATTAGAGAAAAAGTATGATGTGATAGGTAGGGTATGAAAAAGTGAGGGTAAAAGTAATTTTTTAATAGAAAATGGAAATGTTTTAGAGAATTTAAAAAAATGAAAGGAGAAAGATTTTGTGTAACGGGGACTATTTGATACGAGTAATAGAAATTTTGATATGAAAAACCCCTCCTAGACTAATTATTGAATTTCTTGTATATTGCACGTTGAAAACAATGAAAAGCCATTACTCTCCCCCAATCCCTCCCCTCCCCTAAAAAAAAAAAGCACAAAAAAATCATGTAAAAAATAAAAGAAATAAAGTTTGCTTACTACACCTGCTTCCTGTGGGTAAAAGAGGGGGAGATCCTACCAGTCAGAACTCCCAGCAGGTACATTATTATCTACTCTTCACCTAGTTGGTACCCCACCCCCCTTTCCATCTCCCCCTTTAAATCCCCCCTCTCCTCTCCTTCTTTCTTCCATTCCACCTTTGCAAAACAAAGAAAGGAAAATATTAAAGTTTGGGGTTTTTCTAGGCTACTGAATTATTATTATTATAAGCTTGCAAAAAAAAAAATAATATAATAATGCAGGTTGTTAACGAATCGGCGACGAGCATCGGGGGCGGCCGGAAAGGGGCGGCGCGGCAGGGGATGAGATCAATGGAGGNCCATCTCCCCCTTTAAATCCCCCCTCTCCTCTCCCTCTTTCTTCCATTCCACCTTTGCAAAACAAAGAAAGGAAAATATTAAAGTTTGGGTTTTACTTGCAGTAGTGCTTTTTCTAGGCTACAGAATTATTATTATAAGCTTGCAAGAAAAAAATATAATGCAGGTTGTTAACGAATCGGCGTCGAGCATCGGGGGCGGCCGGAAAGGCGCGGCGCGGCAGGGGATGAGAATGGAGGCGACGTACGAGCGGGTCCGGCAGCTGGCGGCCGGGAACGCCGTGGTGATCTTCACGCTGAGCGGCTGCTGCATGTGCCACGTGGTGAAGCAGCTCCTCTTCGGCCTCGGGGTGGGTCCCACGATCGTGGAGCTCGACCGGGACGCCGACGGCCGGGAAATCTACTCCCTCCTCCTCCGCCTCGCCGACTCCGGCCAGCAGCAGCCCGTCCCGGCGGTGTTCGTCGGCGGGAAGTTCCTGGGCGGGATCGAGACGGTCATGGCCTGCCACATCAACGGCTCCCTCGTCCCCCTCCTTAAAGACGCCGGAGCTCTCTGGCTCTGATAGATCATCCCCGCCGCCGCCGGCCGGTCATCGCATTCTTGAATTTCCGCCGGACATTTCGTTGCTCTGATCAGCTTTTGTAGACAACATAGAATTAAGGAATATAATATATTTGCATGCATTGAAATGCATGCTTCTGTTTCAAGGGGACAAGACAAACACTCCAGACATTTTTTTAGGTTCAGGATCTCAGAAAATGTCTACTACGTTAAATTAATCGAATTTCTGATGAGATTATTACTATTATTATTGTTATTATTATTATTATTTACTCCAGTTTTATAATTATTATAATACTATAAAAAATTAGTGTTATATTGATGTAATTCACTCGCATTTGTGAATGAAAATTCGCTTTTGTTTTCACTTTTTCGATCTTGTTTTTCATTTCTTATGGCGTTGACTTTGACTTGCTTTCTTCCCATTTAAAACTTTATACTCTACGATAATACTCTTGCAGAAAGAGAGGTCATCATACAAATGGATAAGATGAATAAGGCAAATATTAATTTGATGTGATTGAAGGAGGAAAATGTAAATGTGATAGAAAAAGACAGAAATGAGTAAGTTTGAATAGAAGAGACTATACAAAAGTAATTGAAAAAGTATAATATGTTGTGTAAAAAGGATATGTGAGATCAATTTTGGGACACCCGATTTAAAATGTGTGACTTTAATTTTGGGTCGGGGCGGAGAAAATATAATTTCTAATTCAATATATACTCCGTATTATATTTGGTAAAAATTAGGTCTATATATATATATTTGAAAATTATATGAAAAGATCAACAAAATAAAATTTGATATTATTTTTTTATTAAATGAATAATGAGAATATATAAAGAAAAAAATAATTTGACTTGCTTGAAGGAGAAAAACAATACTCCCTCCGTCCACAAATAAATTTCACGTTCACTATTCACAGGGTCAAATTTTATTCACTTTGTTGGCCTATTTTGTCACCCATTTGATAGAATAATATAATCATGTCACCTCTATTTTTTTAGATATTTTGATATAGTTTTTTAATATGTAATTTTTATTTTCAAATTTTACACCATTTTTCATATAAAATGATTTAAAAATAACATAGTCACGTCACCTCTGCATCATTTTCAATCACACTCTTTCACTTTCTTAAACTTTGTGCCAAATCATAGCGAGAACTTTTTTTAGATGAAGGAAGTATTAAAGTTGTTTCTAATCCAATCTGGTCTGGTGTTATTCTATTAAGAATACGTAATACTCGCTAAAAAATTGAAGAGAACAAGCTCTTAATACCGATGGATATTCAACAATTTGGAAGAAAAATCTATAAAACATTGTAAATTGCAAAAAAACAAGTAAAAATTACTCCGTATGTGGGGAAGATAACTTTGTGTGTTTTTTGGGGGGGATTTATGGTGAAAGTTGGTGTACTTTGTGCATGGAAAATGATACGGAGGACTTTTTTTTTAAAACGAAAATCATGTAAAAAAGACTGTGTGGGCGTACGTAATATAATGTAAATTAGGAGTCCTTTTGGGTAAGTAAAGAGTGAGTTTGATTGAAATGGAAGTTGTTTGAATTTGTTGAAACTAATCCTGGCCTGTATTGGATGAACTTACTCTCAATTACTAAACACAAAAGGAGAATACCTACTTGTAAGTCAAATTAAATAATGGGAGATTGGTTGTGAATAAATTTGGTGTTCAAAAGAAATTTTAAAGTATTATAGTTTCTAAAAAGAGTTTTTTACATCATTTATTCTCGAACTTTAATTTTCAAGAATTGTACGGGTAGATTCCTCCTGAATTTTAAGAATTACACCAATGATTCATGAACTTTTTAAAACACTGTATCAATGATTTATCTATAATAGATTTAGCAGTTCGTTAACCACACTCTTATCAATATACATGTTGGAACTTGATGAAGATGATATTGATTGATGAAGAGGTTGATCAATTGATGGAAAGTTTGATGACTTATGTCAGGACTTCAAGTTCAATTCTTGACACCTAAAAGCTAAGGAGAATAATTATCTAGTCCTTCAAGATGTTAAAAGTATAGATAATAATATTTAGAAAAATATATTGCAGAATTCACATGTGATATATGAGTTTAGATTAATCCATACTTGCATTGAATGAGTATGTGATTAATGCACTTCTAAATTTGGTACAAATAAACCATTGCTGCAACGTTTTTAGCACTTCAAGGACTATTATTACAATTTTTGAAGTTAATAGAAAATCGTTGCAATTCTTGTAGAGTTTGGAAGTAAATAACACAAAATATTCTTACTAAAAATTGAGACTACCAAAAATATTGTCATTGCTCACATCTCACTATTTACTACTCCGTGTGTTTAATTCACAAATTAATATTTTTTAGTACCCAATTAAATTTATTTACTCCCTCCGTCCCGCTATATTCGTCCACTTTTGACGTTTGGAACTGTTCATCTAAACACTTTGACTCATCAAATTCTCTCAATGTATAAGCCTAAATATAGTCATGCGTGATCTTGTTTGATTTGTCTTAACATATAGATTATTAATATATAATTTCTATAATTTTTTAATATACAAATTACAAGATAAAGTGGATTAAAGAAGTGTATTGGATGGTGTGCAAAAATGAAAGTGGACAAATATATTGGGACGGAGAGAGTAATATCTTAACTTTTTTTATAGAATTGTGATTTACTCCGTGCCATCACCCCGTGGAATAAGGGGGCGGTACTTATGCATTTCATTACTGGCAATTTTTCTGTGGATCTAAGGTTTATATTCTATCTTATAGCATTTATAGCATAAAAAGTGGGTCTTTTGCAAAATGTAAAGTATAAAATATTCACATGAAAGCCCATAAAAATGTGAGAAAATCCATATTTTACACAAAAAGGAGAATATAATTATTAAAAGTTGTATAGTCATATATAAACTACTTCTTTCGTCCCAAAAAGAATGCCCAACTTCAGTATTTAAAAATCACGAGCATTTTGGTTTGTTTGTGTGTTTTCATTAATTATTTGATGAAATGAAATATTCTTCTCATTTCTTATTTTGTAAAATTTTTGACCTAATTTTTAAATATGTACGTTTTAATTTTTATTATATACTGATCTTTAAATAAAATCAATTGAAAAAACCTTGAAATTTCATTTTATTTTGCATAATATATTACTCCCTCCATTCCATAAAACCCTTCCTCTTTCGTTTTTTTCTAATTCCCTAAAATACTTCTACTAGTCTATTAAAAAACCACTTTTACCCTTACTTTTTCATACCCTACTTATCACATCATACTTTTTCACTAATAACCAAACTATCACATCTTACTTTTTATCCATCATATCAGGAGAAAATTGAAAAATTAATCAAAATTACATTTTTTTTATTTTTGCCCAAAGTCAAAATGGGAAGGATTTAAAGGAACAAAGGGAGTATTACTTTTAGGATGGGAAGAGTAATGAAGTATGGGAGAAAATAATTTTTGGTATTTTGTGAGCCCAAAAGAATGAATGGAGGAAGCGGGTCAAGAGATGGTGACGTACAAGCTGGACCACCCAGCCCACAAAGTAATCTTGATGCTCATGTCATCACTTATGCCTCTTGTTGTACCCATCACTAACATTTTGCCCTTTTAATTCAGATATTTGACTAAATTTATTTTTAATTAAATCTAAATAAAAATTGGGATAGGATTAAAAAATAAATTTTATATAATTAAAATTTACATAAAAAATTTTATAAAACAAGATATAATATGACTATATATTATTTTATCAAATAAATAATAAAGATAAGTAAAGAAAGTGATTATAATTAAACCTTGTGAATAGTAAATAAACAACTTAAAATTTATGTTTTAATTATAAATTTTGAAATTTTGGACTGTGATGAAGTTAAAATTCGTGATTTCTAGGTCAATCAAATATTGAATGAAATCAACCAAGCACTTAGGGTCTGTTTGGTATACATAATAGAGGGAATTGGAATTAAATTAAAAATTGAAATTCTATGGAATTGATTTAACTCCTCCTATTTCTTTGTTCATGCTAATGAAATTTTACAAATATGCAGATGCAAATGGGAGTATGGACATAAACAATAAACATTGTGAATCATAAAAAAACTACCCACGCGGCCACGCATTATAAAAACAAACACATCTTTTTTTTCATTAGTCCAAAGATCACTTTTAGTTTTCCTTTTGAGGCCAGGGAAGTGATTCTTGTTCTCATTTTCCAATTTTAAAGAAATTTTCCTCACATGCAGGACGAGCCCCATCCCCGAGGGCCCCTTCCGACTCGGTTGAACGGTCACTGAGAAAATGTAAATTGGACTCTAATTGCAGATTGGTGGTAAAAAGTAGAGTCTACATCTGGTACTTGCAAAGATCTTATTTTTAGCATAATTAGCTCCCAGCGCAGTTGTCAGGAACCGAACTCGGGTCTTACCCCTTTGGCACGTATCCATTGCCTTGCCGTTGCATGACGCCCACCGGCCATTGTTAACTATGTTAATTTCTTTATTAGTGGTGGTCAAATTTCTTAACATCCATTATGATGAAAGGATAAAATGTAATGATACAATAAATGTAACACCAAAGGTTGGTTCTTGTAAACTAAGAAGGATTTGAAACATATCAAGAATATAATGATCCAAATCTTACTATATTTTCTCATATAGGCACACAAATTAAGAAGATACCATTAATATTGCTGGATTAAATATTATGACAGGTCCATATATTTAAAAAAAAGTAAATTTTATAAATAATTCATAATAATATGTGACTTTTTATATTTACTCTCCAATTTTAAGATATCACATAAATTGTTTCAAAAAAAAAAGATATCACATAAATGGTCATAAAGTTTAAAATAGTTTTTAAGGCTAAATATGATAATGTTTTTTTAAATGTAACCGATTATGCAATAATTTTTTAAAAAATAAGGAAATCATTTATAAAATTTATTCTTAAAAAAATACTCTTTACAAAAAGATAAAACAAAATTGAGGTGATTCATGAGGTACCTACCATATCATTGCCCAAATAAGAATGGTGACGCTTATTAATTTCCGAAGTAATTTTGATTTTTGATTCGTTGACTAGGTGATGTGGCTTCGATGAATTCTAACCGCCTAGGGGTCCCACTGCAGCTCTCTGGGCCCCCATTGTATGGTCCTGGTTATCTTTGACCAGACCGTTAATTCTACATTTACGCCTTTTTCCCATTT